CCCCACCCTGATCTGGGACACCCTTCAGGGCAAACCAGCCGGCCCCCACCCGTGCACCAGGCCTCTATCCTATATAGTAAAAGGGTAATATGCAAACTGACCCTAACAGCAGAAAGACTGGGAATGACTGGTCACTATGACACACACTGACCACCAGGGGGCAGACGCTCAATGCAGGAGCTGCTCTCTGGTGGTCAGTGCACTCCCACATGGGGGAGCTCTGCTCAGCCACAAGCCAGGCTGACAGCTGCCAGTACAACGGTGGTGGTGGGAGCCTCTCCTGCCTCCTCAGCAGCACTAAGGATGTCCAACTGTAGCTTAGGTCTGCTCCCCGCTGGCAAGTAGACATCCCCTGAGGGCTGCCAGGCTGCCAGAGGGATGTCTGATTGCCAGCTTAGGCCCAATCCCCCGGGGAGCAGGCCTAAGCCAGCAGGTGGTCATCCCCCAAGGGGTCCCAGACTGCGAGAGGGCACAGGCCGGGCTGAGGGACCCCCCCCGCCCGAGTGCACAAATTTTTGTGCACCGGGCCTCTAGTAGACTAGAAAGTATAACTGCAACAAATGTTGACAAGGATTAGAGCAATTGCAACTCTTACACACTGCTAGTACCGTATAAATTGATACAACCACTTTACAACATGTTTGGCACTACCTAGTAAAGTTGAATATACCTAAATCGTCTGACCTCACGTTCCACTATTATGTATTCCTCAGAAAAAGTCTTATATGTGTATACCAGGAAAATTATTGAAGATTTCACAATGGCATTGTTTATAATATTTAAAAACTGGAAATAACTCAAATGTCCATTATCAATAAAATAAGATGAGTAATTTGAGCTACATCTGTCAAACCATAAAATCCTACATAGCAGTGAAAACAAATGAATAAAAGCTATAGTCAGTCATCACCATGCCTGAATCTCAGGACTATAATAAAGAGCGAAAAAAAGCAAGTTGTAGAATACATAAAATATGGATCCATCAATATGTTGTGTAAGAATACAAATACATGTGGCAAAACTTTAAAGGGAAGTGAATGAAAATTATAACAATCAGAATTTTAGTTTCATTTGAGAGGAAGATAGGATAAGGGAGGACCTACAAGGGACCTCAAAGGTAATGAAAATGTTCTACTTCTTAAATTGGTTGGTGGGTACTCAGATGTTGCTTATTTTGTCCATCTTTAATACTTTACATAATTAATTTGTGAATATGATTTTGGATCTATCCAAACTCTTTAATACAGGTAAAATATAATACATGATGGTTAAATAACTGAAATGGTAAGATTGGTCATTAAAATATTCTTTGCTTACCCGAAAAATCTTGTGCATCCTCATGGTGGCTGAACAAAAGACAAATCTTGTGAGAAGCAAGCGAAGAAATTCATCTCCAAAAAACTGGAGGAATGCCTGATCTGCAAAGAGGAGAAAGGGGCAGTAAAAAGATGCTTAAAGGGAAAATACATTTCCAAGGGGAAGGTAAGTTCAGGAAAACTTTCTCAACTTTCCTGCCTTCAACAAATACCTCTAAAAATTCAAACAATTCAAGCAATTTTAAACCATTACAGTACGTTCTGTCACGTGTGCAGTTAGGTTAGTAGGGTACCTATTGAACGTGAATGGGTCAGTAGCTGGGCAATATCGCGGTTGATTTTTCGAAGGTATTCTTGACACTTTTCCCACAGGCTTCTGCGCATGCTTGACAATCCAGAGACAAATAGGAAGGCCATTAGAGGATTGTTCAAAAAGAGTGTGAAGAGGCTACCTCGTTGAGATTGATCTGCAATAACAAACATGTTTTTTATATTTATATAGAAAACAGTTTTGCAAAAGGTAAGAGGTGCGTTTGAGGAACATTTTAATATACTGATAATGTATAAAATTAAAGCTATATCATTAAGTCTTAATTCAACAAAGTAGATTCTGCAAGGAACTACAAAACATGTCCCAGGCATATTGCTTTCTTGCTGAACTAACTTTAGAGCCTAGTAAACTAAAGAGAAATAGGACATGAACATATTTCTTTGCCTTTTTCCCTCCAACTAACAAATTTTACCCAAATATGGCAAGGACTGGGTCACAGGCAGTTCGTGATAGAATTCTTTGATGAGTTTTAGGATTGCCAGTCTTTTTCACTCTTGTGAGTTATTCTATCTCCACCTATCCCTTAAATATCAATCTTTTTTTTTCTTTGGCCTGATACATTGCTGATCTCACCTACTCTTATAATCTCGGTTATCATTTATATGCCTACTGATTCCCAGTTCTCCATTTGCAGCCTAGATTGAGCTCCTTAGTTCTAGAACTGTGCTGCCTTGCAGTAGATGCTGGATACTTAAAGAATTAAATATGTGACTGATCCAAACAGACACACTACAGAGTGTAAAATACATCCTATACATAGGATTTCAAAGCATCAGTACAAAAAGACATTATTAACATTCATTTCACCAGTTTCTTTCTACTTTAAAAAAAAAACACGTGGCTACTAGAAAACTTAAAATTACACAGGCGACTCCCATAATATTTCTATTGGACAGAACTGCCCTAGACCTCTATAATCAACCTAACTCTCAAAGGTAACTTCAAACTCAACATGTCAAAAGTTGACAACAATTTCCCCCCCTTTTGGTTCTCTTATAAATCTACTTGTTATTTAGTATCATTATTTCTGCAGCATCTCAGCCAGAAACCTGAAGTCCATTCCGCCTCTTCCTCTCTCTCATTTCCTCACCGTCACCAAGTCCTGCTGGTTCTCTGGGTTGGCACCTTTTGAAGCCAGGTAACCAGTCACTGTCCTAGCTCAGCCACCACGATCTCTTTACTTCCATCAATGCTCCTGTCCAATTCACCTTACATAAGGTAAACTGAAGGCCTTTTTATTTTATTGCCGTTTAAAATCTTTCAATGGCACCCCACTATCCTTTATCTGAATCATAAAAGGTTTTTCATAATTCAGTCCCACAATCACAAACTCTGCCCTTTAACTAGCAGAAACTACTTTTAATTTATCTACATGTTCCATAAACTCTCTCATCTCAGAGCTCTTATCTCAGGGCTCACATGCTATTTCTCTGCTAGAATACCTATTTTCAACCATTTCCCATGCTCATTTAATTCTACGCATCCTTCAACTCCACTTCAGACATCATCTCATGCACTTTCTTCAATCTCAAAGGCAGGTTAGGAGTTCCTTAAGTGTGGCACAGGCTTCCTCCTATGAGACACTAACAGCATCGACAGTGACTGTCAGGTTGTCTGTATCTTCTACTAGACAACTGGTTCTGTGAGAAACTGACTCTGTTTGTCTGGTCCGAGCGTCACCTCCAATGCCTAGCACTGTACCTGATAAATAAACGTTGAATAAATGCTTGTTGAATGTATGAAATAACTCTTGGATAAAGCAAACACTGTATGCATATAAGCCTAACCAATGGACACAGACACCAGGGGGGTGAGGGC